AAAAGAAAATATATATATATATATATATATATATATATATGAAAATCCTTTTTCTTTAAGGAAACTATGCAATATTTATGGACCGAAAGAGAAAATGAATCTTTCATTCTGGTGAAAATTTTGTAACATACTTTGTTACTCTTACAGTATGAAAGGTAAATGTCCTTTCCTCTTTTGTAATAATAGAGTAATGGTTGGTACTCCTTGAGAAGATATCTAGATTTCTCTACTCTTTTAATGTTTTTCAAATATCATTCTTAATTTTCTTTTTCTAATGTTGGTCATTAAAAAAACATTGTTGTTCTACCCCAATGACAAGGAGCTTATAAATAATTTATCCTCTCGACTTTGATAACGATACTATCGTATTTGAATATATTTATTGTTTCTCTATATAATGGTTCATCACATTTCTTATATTTTCTTTATTTATAGTTTTCTTTTCTTGGTTGAGTTGAGTTTTTGCAATGAATAGATTGTGAAGTGGATGTTACTTGACAGTCTGCACCTAATTTAGAGCTAACATTTTAGATGAGAATAAAATAAGAAAGTGATAAGGCTAGTGATAGGATATTCTTAAAAATTCCGAGGGTACGATAACGGACGAGTGATTTTATTTTGTGTCTCACACAACTTACGTTAGTTGTGTGAGACACAAAATAAAATTTTTCATAACGGACCTGCTCAGTGGATAGAGGCCGCATATTGTGGTCCAGACTATAGATGAAGAGACAGAAATAAGCAAAACGATTTTGCCCATTTCTTCCCGGAAGAGTTGTTTATTCTCATTTTTGCGTATTAGCTCAAAACTCAACAAAATCAAATATTAAGATTTAAGAGGCAGACGAAATTGACAAGTTGAAGGGCAAACTAGAGAAAATTGACGATCCAAAGTGTGTCAAGCGGTGACATTACGTTTCAGAAAAAACACAAATGACAATGACTAATTTACTTTGTATTTTTCCATCCATTCCAAAACACAACAGCTTACTTTAAATACAAGGATTAATACATCTAATTTGTGTAGATTCATACATTATTTTCTGACTCTTTTTTTTTTTAAGTTTACATATTTAAAAACTACATAAAAATTTTGATCGTAAATTATATTTGACTTAAACAAATCATAGTTATAAGAGTGTCGGTTCTTTTTAGAGAACATGAGATTAAATTTTTCATCCAACAATAGTGGTAAATAGGAAAATGGGGCTATCAATGTGGGCACACTAATCAAATCTTGTTCATAAGATTCTTTCTCTATTATTTTGCTGGTGAAAGAGACTTTTTTGTCATACTCTTTGGATATACATAGCAACACACATTTTAGTTTTAGGATTCTTTACTCCAGTGGAATAGGTCAGAGAACTATTCCTCACCCATTCTTTTAACACAACACCCATTATTTTCATGTGACTCTGACTCAAAGGAAGGAATTTTTTTTCAGCCAGAGAAGCTTGTTTCTTGGGACACCCCACAAGGATTTTGTATTGAACTGTTTAATAGAATCAGAGATCCTTCAACTTAACTCCATCTTTTTTATTTGGACTATTATTTCTTTGCCTTTATATGTGTGTGTAGATTCTCCTCTTTATTTCCTTGTGCAATTTGCTTTTGTTTATCTTCTTATTGTCCTTTTTCTCTTGATTCCTCATCCTTTTTAGTTGCATGGTCGATTAAAAAAAAATGCCAGATTCCTTTCTTGATGTCTACAAGTATTTGTTTTACATTGTTTTTGCAGGAGTAAGGTGGTCCAAACATTTATTTTAAATAGAAAAGAATATGCATAAGGAAACTACCTAATGCTTGTAATAAATGAACAGCAGACAGCATATTATTTAAGATATAATATCTTATAGAGGATAAGACCAAATCTTGCCTTGTCGATTTTATTTCACAAGATATCTAATGATTCTTACTTGAGTGATTTAATTATAGTTTAGCTTTGATTGGAAGGATCCCTAACAGGTCATAGCACAACTCATACAACCTGCTACAGAAATTAACACTGGATCCACATAAAGAACCCCTGAAGTCATGATTGCCAAATGAATTTGAATTTAAAATTGGACACTTAAACTAATACAAGATGATTCTGCTCCTCCTTTCTTTTTATATTTTCATTTTCTTTTTGGTTTTACAAGAGTAGGTTATCTGATTTTCTTCAGTTACAGACTAAGGAGAACAACAACAACATAGAGTGGAGACTCCATAACGTATACAAAGAGTAAGCGATCTATGAACTCAATTCAGGTCTTGTTCCGCACTTAAATGGATAACTCAAACCCTTACCTTGACCAGTTTGTAGTGGAAAACCTAAACTCAGTATATTCCCACAAGTGGGTCTGGGAAGAGTAGTGCGTACGCAAACCTTATAATAAAAAAAAGAGATTTTGGCTAGTAATGGTATTTCAAGATTTTGAAAGTGGACCAAGACCTTTTCTTGTGGAAGACAAAAGCTATTGTTTGGTGACTTTGGTCTTGCCTAATCTTAGAAGGCATTCCTGTTCTAATGTCTTAAAGGGAAAAAGGTTTTCCACATATTTCTTCAAATCAAAGGAATCTCTTTCACAAGATAATATAGTATAGTATAGGTTAGGAAGAAGTCTAGGGAGAAGAATAGGTCAACTAAACCTAATAGAGGCTACACTACAGGAAGCATCAAGAAATTCAAATGCAATGATGAACCCTGCTTACAGAAATAGCACAAGAAGTCTCAACAGAAACTTTAAAAAAAAAAAACAAGTATTGATAGTAATAGTGATGTATTTGATCCAATAGAGGCACTGCTCTTTCATTTCTCAAGTGTTGGACTTAAATTCAAGTTCCTTATGCCAAAACAACAAATAACTAGAACACGGTTCAAAATGCACAGAGACAAAAAGGAGTTCTAATCCTGCAAAATTTCACCTCTCAAGACTTATATATAAGTATAGGGTATCAATTTATAGTAAATTAATTCCTCAATGTATATTCTTATCTGCAAAATTCACAGTGGAGATCTATACATCGATCTTTCCAGACATGTGAGCATGATTTTTCCAGCTTTGACTCTCAGATTTTACATCATCTTCTTCTTCCATGCTATCACCGACAGTCGTGGAAGTACCTCGGGAACTCCCACTCAAGTGAAGAGGACCCTGAGGGGAACCAGACTGGGAGCTGCTCTGCTTTGAGGATCCCCCATATTGGTCTTGGGACATCCATAATGCTACACCAGACTGATTTGCTTGTTGGGTCTGTGTATTCGGAATTCTTCGTGTATGAAGCCGATATTTCTGAAATCATATAAAACAAGTTATTAATATGTTCAATTCATAATAAAAAAACACATAATGGTACTTCACAAATTAGTATGAGGCCAAACTCACTTGCAAATGACTCTTTACTTCATCATTGGTTAGACCATCCACTTGCATGAGCTCTCTAATCTGCTTAGGAGTTGCAACTGCAAAGAACCCAGCAAAGAATTGTTTTAGCATGAGCAAAAGTTGAAAACTAACAACATCAATTAAGCTAAAATGTTTGATCCAATGTTGGTTCAAGATTCTGGCAGCTATTGTGAAATCATTTTATATATTTTCACTAGAGGACTATCCTTCCAGTTTAACAAAGGTGTCAATGTGTAGTTCCTAACTTCTATATATCATGTATTCATTTACATGTACACAGGGCTCCAACAATCCATACTATTAATAATCAAGAGCTAAATCTCTGAATTCATCAATCACTAAATGTAAGCCAAACTACAAGGACTCCTATTCTAAACAAAGTAAAACCTAAAGGAAACCTTGAATTAGACTCTTTAACATTCTATCATAGAACAAGGAAACAAAATAACATCATCACAATTTTCTAGAGAAGCTTTCATGATTTTGAAGAATAGCATAAAGTTCTAACCTTGTGAACCCCCAAGTTGTTGCAGTGCATCGACAAATCGCCTATGTAACTCTGGTGACCAGCATCTTCTCTGCTTTCTAGCAGCCTGCTGCTGAGACAATGATCCATTCCTTATATTTGTTTGACTACTTGCTACACTAGATATACCACCTCTGCTGCCATTGTGTTTTGAATTCGAACCACTAGCGTCCTCCCTCAGCTTTATGATTCCAGGAGTATGAAGTGATAATCCTGGTACTCCTGGTAGTTCATCTTTATCGTCTTTCCCAACAGTCGTCACTGAGAAACCAGAATACCCCTTGAAAGGTGAAAATGCCTTTCCAATATTCAAGGTTTTACAAGATTGGAATCGATCCTCAGATACCGAGCTATTTCCTTCTTCAGGGGATCTCTGATTATTCCAACAAAACGAAAAAAAACAATAAGTTCTGAGAATTCATTGTCTTAATAAGCAAATCAAGTCAATTATGTTCTTACAATTTTCAACTCTGATTTAGACCGTTGTTTATTATTGGCTTCGTCCGTATTTTGGTCACTGTTCCAGAGCTGCACAGAGCTCATCCAACTCATCTTTTCTCTACTACTATCCTTATCTTTTGTGACTTCAGCTTTATTGTCTTCATTGGAACTCTTCTTCAATGGAATGAATTCTTCCAATACTGGTTCTGTTCTTGATTTTCTACACTGCACTGATTCTGCTCTCAAAGCCACAATAGCTGCAATTTCAACCATCACCAAGGGAAATTAACACCCAGAATTTTCTCTATTCATAACATTACAAAAAAAAAAACAAGCTACAAACATATACTGCGTACTAAAATACAAAAACAACCTCCAAATAATTGCAAACTAGAAAATTCCATTAAAAATGAAACTCTAACCATAAAAAATTACTCAAACAATCAATACGCAAAAGCATCTAAGTGGTAAAAATTGAATAACGATAAATATATGATAAGCACAGAACAGATAAATACCATATCAAATTTTAATTAGAACACAGAACTAAGATTGAGGTGATAATTGATGAAAAAAGAAAAAAGAAAAACTAACCATCTTTAACAAGAAGGACGGAAAGGGGAAGCTCGCGTTTAAAGGCATCGATTTTCCTCATTTCATCTTCAAGTCTGGAGATATAATCATCAATCTGGGCGAGTTTATCAGGTACGTTACGGATCGAGGAGAGTTGTTTAAGAAAATCAGTAATGGATGTAGGAATGAAAGTAGGTCTGCAATCTAAGCTTAATTCAGGTGGAATCGAACCCATTTCTCCCGATCTTTCACTCTATCCGATTAGATCTTTTTTAAAATTGAATCTTTTTTACCTCAGTTTGTTATGAGACAAGTTAAACAACGCCGGGTTTTGACAGAAAAGCAACGAAGCCGTATAACGTGAAAGTATTTTTCTAGTTGCCGCATATATTATCCCTTTATTTAGATTCCCATTTTCAATGGTCAATATTGTCCTCCACTAACAATGCGTATCATTTTAGTATTTTTCTAAATACTTGATCTCCGTTATTTAATTACAATTTCACTGCACTAATTCTTTTTTACTTAGAAAAACAAATATTTCTTTTATCAATAATTTTGTATTCTCGGAACACATGGTTTCAAAGTACATTTATTTATGATCTAAAGTTAAAGGTATACATTTTTTATTAAAAAAAGATTTACATATTAATCATACTATACCACTGAATTAGGGTAACTCATAAAATAATTATATTTACGATTATTATTATACAATTTAAAGAGACATTTTAATAGATACCCTTGTTCTGATAGCTGATATTTTTGTACTTCATGATAAGATGTTATTCCATTTTTTATGAATATTAGTTAGTATCCTAGTCAAGAGAGGCGTTTACTTGGTCAAAATAGCATGGACTAGCCCGTTTTCAAATTGATAATTAAAATATAGTCAGCATTTACAAAGTTATTGTAAAATAACCACTATTTTATGAGGATATAAAATATGGACAAAATACCCTAGCTGAAACACGAAAAGTTTCAGCATCATATGATGGATTAATGGAGCTCCTACGTATAAACTTCCATAATATTATATTAGAACCCTAGTACATTAAGAAACTCCACCATATTATGCTGGAATCTCATATGTCAAAAATTTGAACTCCAAGATATTATGTTAGAATTTTTTCGGATTTTTTTAGGATGTTCTTGTTCAGATCCTATTTTTACATGAAAAATTGGCTAAATTTCGATTACGTTTGAAATTGTGGCTAATTTTTAATTTTCAGAAACCACTATTGTTTAGTGGCTATTAACTTTCTATAACTACTATTTAGTTGTTAAGCGACTGTATTCGCTGTATTCCCGCTATTGTATTCATGAATACAATAGCGGAATTCGCCTAAAAGATAGGGGAGTCCAGCTGTGCGATTGTATTCGTTGTATTCGCGCTATTGTATTCATGAATAGAGCAGCATAATTCGCCTAAAAAATAGGGGAGTCCAACTGTTTAATAACGAAAAGAAGATCAATTAGCATGTATTACTCATAATTTAACTCAACAAAATCAATCATACATAAAATTCGCGCTACTGTGTTGTATTCCATGTATTCGCGCGGTTGTATTTATAAATAAAGTGATTCTATTCAATTCGACTGTTTACATTGTATTCAATCCGCAGATATTCATTATTCACTATTATACAATGTATTTAATGCACCGTATTCAATTCAACTGTATTCAAACAACAAAAATTCACAAAACATAGTGATATTCGGTTGTATTAAAAAATACAGACCTTTAAAATACATAAATACAGGCAAAAAATAATATATTTATACAAAAATATAACGTATTTGAGTGTATTTGTACATAATACAATATATTTGTATCATTGTATGTGACTAAATGCAAAGAAGAAAAGAAAGTTCGCCGGAGATGGCGTTTTTCGGCCAAGCAAAATATTGATTATATTGTATTAAAACTAAAATGGAGACGAACAAAAATCCGGCCCTCAAATCTTCTCCGGCATAGCCATGGCCAGATATGTTCGCCTAAGACGATGAGTCAATAGTGGATGATGACACCGATTATGACGCTGATGACGATTAGAAGCGACATTGAGCGGCGGCGTTGAAGAAGTAAAATTAGGATCTGGAGAGTAGAAACTTGATGTTATATTTCTCATTCTCTTTGATTTATCGTCCATTGCTACATCTTCCTCTACCCCCATTTTTGTTTTTATTGGTTTAGCTATGGTAGGTATAAATAAATACCTATTTTGCTATAAAATAAAAAAGGTAGCTATAGGTAATAATATTTTGAAATTACTTTAATTTACAATAAATAGAGTGTAATAAATTGCTATAGGAGGTTTCTTTTCTATTTTCCCGTCTACTTTTGGCCTCTACACCATTAACGCCCAAACAATTTAATAGTGAATTTTATGATTTTATTTTTGCAAACGCAATCTTGATTAGGAAAAGATTGCCTACTTTTTAAGAATAGTAATACTTTAGAACTTTTAAATTAAATTATTCAAAATTTCATATTAGTAAATAGAGTTTTTATAACAACATCCAAGGTAATATATTGCAAACGTATGGCTAACATCTTAGTAACTAGAATTAACCCTTATTAATAAATAATAATATTATTATTATGTAAAGTTAAAAGCTATACATCTTTTAATAATGTCTATAAAAACAAGTATGGAAACCAAAATTTGACTTCCGATCACTAATTTTATCCCTTGATCATAATTATTTAACCCGAAAGATATTTTTCGTGATGTTATCTCCTTATTTTAGATTCCTCATTTTATATTTGTCTAAATATTATTCTTCACACTAACACGCAAATAACTAACAATAATATATTCCGTTGCACAATATTTTCTCATATGCATGAATTGCATTATTAGTGAAATCTTATGATACTTAATATATCTTTACAGTCACGAATAAAATCCTAATGTTTCGTGTATCAATAGAATTTGTTTGGTTATTTTTCTGTAATTACACTATAGATTTGATCATCTTAGGTGTAATTAAGCATATTAGTTAGTATGTGTTTCTTTTATTTGTAACAATATCATGTTAAATTATGTCGTAACACTATGTCACAAATTCTAATCAACTATCTAAATTTATTCTATGAGCAATTATTCACCTCCATGTAATCTTTTCCTTATTATTTTTTTTGGAGAAAAATATTTACTCATGTATTTACTAACAAAAGTGGAAGATATTGTGCAACTATGAAACTCAAATTAATTTTCAAGATTTAATCTATTAATATTTCGTTCAATGTAGCAAGTGGAGTATGAACAAAAAATGTGATGGATATCGTGTGAAAGGTACCACCAAATGCAATTCTTTTGGGTTAGTCAACACATAATCCTTTATTTGATTTTCGAGTAAACAAAAAGATTCTTGTCTAGTAAACTAATGGGGAAATTGTTTTTCTCTGTAGGTCGTGAATATGAAATTTAATATATATTTTTTCCTTGCTTAAAGATATGGCATCAAAGTCAAAGTAAGAAACGCATGCATTTGGTGATAGCACATTAGTTTATTCATTTAGCACTATTAACACTATTACTTTCTAGGTGATCTATAAAACACTATTGATGTACTGTTTTTTTTTTTAGGATAAAGCCGGAGCATCTTACCTTATAATAAAGTGAGAAATTTGTAAAGGCCTAAATATTTTTATTATTTCCTAAAAGAGTTCAATAACAAATAGTACTAATTAATGAAATAGAAGCCCTAAGATAGACATTCTGATGTAAACTAATAACCCGAAATAATTTTATCCATGGTCACTGAATCTTTGTGTTTGTTAACCAAAAGTTATTTTTCTTTTTTTTTTTTGTTACGTAAAAATCATTCAACTTTGTATTCATTACACAAAAGTCACTTTTCTTTCTTTTGTTACACAAAAATCATTTTACTTTGCTATAGTTATTACAAAAGTCACATTTTTACTTGAAAAGTCTATTATGCCCTTGATATTATATAAACCTTCATATTTATGTAATACTTTCTATGTTATATACTATATAATATATTTTTAACTATGTATTTTATTTATAAATAAAATAACTTAATATTATTTTATTTATTATTTTTATAATATATTCGTATAATTAATTTTTTTTAACTTTACTTTTCAAGATATATTAGTAGCGGTATAAAAACTTTTTTTCAGCAATTCTGTTGGTAATGTTGGTCGCGTTTTGGACGGTTATTGGCCATTACCGACCAACTTTGGTCGATTTTTTTGGACGGTTTTTCTGAATTTCTAGTAGTGTAATTTACCAAATAATCAGTTGCCCAGGTAAATCCCCAAGAAAATATTCCCAGCTAAATTCGCATGTAGTACCTAGGGATTTTCCTTCAGATTAACATATGATTTTTTCCTCATTTTCTTTGTTTGTTTACCTGCGAATTTTCTCACGGAAATGTACTTGCAGATTTATTTCTCTACTAATATATATTAAAGTTACTAACAAATTTAATAACGCCACTAATATATTTTGATAATTAACGTTAAGAAAAAATTAAATATACGAATATATTATAAATATAATAATATTAAGTTATTTTATTTATAAATAAAATACATAGTTAAAATTATATTATATAGTATATAATATAGAAGATATTACATAAATATGAAGGTTTATATAATATCAAAGGCATAATAGACTTTTCAAGTAAAAATGTGACTTTGTGATAACTAGAGCAAAGTAAAATGATTTTTACGTAACAAAAAAAAGAAAAGTGACTTTTGGGTAACAAGCACAAAAGTTCAATGACCATGGATAAAATTAACTCCTAATAACCCTAAAGCCCAGGGTTAAGTCTAACGGCGCCTTTCTCTGTTGACGTTTAGATCATTTTATGTTTTTTATATCCTTTTCTAATCATCCATTTTTCTTGGAATATAGTACACATTTGTAGTACATAAGAATCTTACAGCTATAGTTTATGATAAAATTACACATACACCCCAAGAATAGCAAGGTAACGTTAGATCACTTTTAATATCCCCTTTCATTTTCAGAAGAATTATTATATTTTGCAAATTTGCAATCATTTTGGAGTATGCATATGTGATATGAGAATTGAATTTTGTGTCATGCACTTACGATTCGCCTTTAGATAGGCCATTATGATACGATTATGTACTTACTTAGTTAATTAATCAAATAAAACAAAAGGAGGATTTATTTATATTTTCTTTATTTTTTTAATTTCCTTTTGGTTGTGAGAATACTGTTAAAGAGATATGAACTAGATTCTGTTGCAGGAAGCACGAATTAAGTAAAATAAGATGGAGCTTTTAGCAAAAAAAGATCG